TTTTCCTCTTTACAGATGTCAAGATCGGAAAGTGTGTTTTTCTGGAACGACTATTTATAAAGAGCAATTTCAGGTTCTGCTTGAAATAAGTAAAAACAAACTTGTTTAATGACAACTGAAATCGCTCATTGCAATAAGACAATTAGCTTGCATAAGATTGCTTGAAACGTGAAGATGATTCACCTTTTGTTTCAATTTCGGTGGGTACGTCAAACAGAGCGAGTTACTTGAGTTACCTGGTACAGCTGTACTCTGAATGAAAGTACCACGCTAACGTTTTCTCAGCAAGTAGGGAGTCAGTAGGCTTTGAGAGAATTTATTCCATGTAATTTCTGAGCGACTTATATCTTTCTTCTGCTGGAATTTTTGTCGCTTCGAATTCTTCAAGGGACACCACTCAGTTTCTGGGGCAACTTTGTTACGTGTGACTGTGCATTGATTACAATATGATTTCGCTCCTTCTAGAAATCCAACCATTACTCGCGGCTTCAAAAAAAGTTTATGTATTTATTTATGGTTTGAAATTGGCAAAAGACTTTCTCAAAAGGCTGGGGCTATATGGCCGGTAACCGGTCAGGCTAAATTATCAGTAAGTCCGATATTTTTTTTAATAATTTTGACAAATCGAAGAATCAGACCAAACTATCATTCGTCGATTTAGAATAGACTGAGAAACTTAGTTTGTGATCAACAAATGTTGTCAAAGTATAAGTCTCTTCAATTTTAAAAGGAAAAAAGGTCACGTGAATATGAGCGGATTCGATCTCGGCGCATAGGGAATGCATACTACTACACTCTAACAACTAGACCACCGTGGTTTCACTGCAAGATGATGATTTTATTCAAAAATTATGCCGAAAACCCCAACCAAAAATAGAAGCTAACTGTTAACCCTAATCACTATTCTCAGGGCTTAACCCTAATAAGTATGGCTAGTGCTTATACCCTGATTAGTATTTTTAGTGCTTAACCCTAATCTGTATCGTCAGTGCTTAACCCTTAAATCACTATAGTCAAAATAGCGGACTGCCGGCCATTTAGTATTTTGTAAATATTGACCGGTTACCAGCTGGTTACCGGCCATATAGCCAGAGCGTTCTCAAAAAGTAAACTACCAGCGCCAAAAAATTAACACAAGCAAACCTACAACTAAGATTGAAAAAGGAAAGAAAGAAAGAAGAAAAGAAGAATCAAAAATTAGCGCGACAACGTTTTCTTCCTTATAATGTTGCTAGTTAATGGACAATATAATGCGTTGTCACGTAACGCCCTCCAAAAACAAATCATTTGTTACAAACGCGAAACTGGTGCTTGAGCAGGCAGTTTGAAAGACGGAAGAGAAAAGGTTGAGATGGTGTGACGTGAAATCCTCAGTTGTCGAAAAAGTGTTTCACCAAAATTTGACAGTTATTGCATACTGTTCTCGGTGTTCAGAAAGTGAACGTTTGGAACCGTGTGAAAAGACACGAAGTAGACGAAGACACCCTACAGACGGAAGATGAAACCATGCCTTGACACACGATTGTTAGCTGACGTCAAAATCGCTTTAGCACAGGCTAAGGTCAAGAAATGAGAATAAATCTCTCAGCAAACTACAGGTTAGTAACTGCAGATATCTCCAATAACGGAGAAAGCACAACTAAAAATTATAAATATTATAACGTCACTTTATAATTATGCAAGTGGCCGGACTGCTTAAAACGATTTTCTCATTGGTTGGCTTCAAGATAAGTCGCTGTTTCCCTCGACATGATTTCAATGTTGTTATAAAGGGGCTTAACATTTGTGTACTTAGCTTGATTTTGTCTCTTAAATTAAAGCAATAGCTATGATTTGAAGAAGGCTCAATTGCTTCTATAAAGTTATAATACTAAACTACGAATTAGTGTTAGAGGCAGGCCGTCTACCTTTTAAAGGGTAATTATCATTTTATTATGTGTGTCAATTACATCTACTTTTTAAGCCTATAAGGTTCCATTAGGGGCGGAAGAAATCCTATAGTGTGACTATCCAAAAGATGCCTGTTAGGCAATACTCTCACATTAAACAATTTGTCGATTTTCGAGACAGACAGAGTAGCCAGGCTGTTACATTGGAACGTCTCTTTTGTGAAAGCTTGGACATTCAACTTGTAGTATATACTGTGTTCAACTTAAGACATGCTATAACTGTAATTCTTAACAATAAATACAGAATGAGTACACAATTTAGAGAAGTATTTCAAATAATAATTTTAATTATTATTTGAAGTACTTAAAAGCAATTATAATATTATACTAAAAATTATATAAAAATCATAAAAATTCCGCGTCATTAACGATTTGAAATTCCCAAATACATTCCTTGCGGCTCAGATGCGATCACTTTTGGTCGCAAAATATCACTTACACGCACTTAAGTGTTTTAAATTAAGTAATGGGAAAAAAAATAATAAGACCCGTTTGTGATATTAAAAATAGGCAAGATAAAAAGAATAAAACCTCGTATTCCTAAATGGCGCAGTCTACATTTTTATACATGCATGCATATAACAATAATTATAATATTTGTTATTTTACGTCAATAAAATGCCAGCTAATAATAATAATAATAATAATAATAATAATAATAATAACAGCGAAGTGACGATGTTCTGATTCGGTTACGTATAACTTGTTCACTAATGAGATGCCTCATTCATGGGTAAAAGGGATAGATAGATAGAAACTTTATTTATGTGTCAAGAAAGAAAAACTAGCCGAGGGGCAGGCCCTCTACTAATAGGGGACACCTACAGTTAAAATATAATAGACACAATAATTAAGTAGATAAAAAAATCCATACAATATGTTACAAATTGTTAGCTAAAATACTAAAGCTGAGTGCTAAAAATGCTAAAATTATTTCCGATGAGACATCAACTATCACACAGAAGACACCCTTTGCATCCATCATCAATAAGAGATGTCAGATCCTTATTACGCATTCGGTTTCTAAAATCACTTAATGATTTACACGTTTTATCATTTTTGTCCAGCTTACTCCATAAAATGGGACCTAAATATCGAAGGGAATGCTTACCAAATGAAACTGTGCTAAACCGGGGTAAAAGAAAGTCTGAATTTCTTAAACTGTAGCATGAATCACGAGGTTTAAAAATGTTGGTGATGGCTTCGGAACACATTTTAGTGTGTTTAACCTTGTACATTAGGACGCATATGTCTTGAAGACGTCTATTCAACAGTGTTGGCAAGTTAGCGCTATTCCCTGATGATAACTGGACTTAGTGTCCTTATACACAGCCCTAAGTCCTCGTTCCTGGATTCTTTCGAGTCTACGAGTATCGCTTGCCCTACAAAAATGCCAAACAAGGTGGCAGTAAGTTTAGTATGGCAAGATAGCTGATTTAAAAAGTACTAACTTTGCCGTGGTGGGAATTAAATTTCTCAATCTCATAATTACCCCAACCCTTTGACTAGCTTTGTTACATACGTCGTTGATGTGTTCGTTGAAATTTAACTTATTGTCTATTGTGACTCCCAAGAGTCAGGAGTTGTCTTGGGCGGGGCACTCGGCAGCTAAAATGATTAATTCCGGGTCGTAATACGGAGGAAAAATCTGTGCAACTCCTCAAGCAACCAATGAAGTCTGAACGAGCACAAAAATTCAATACTGATGACGTATCTTTGCCTGGTTGAGATTTTGTTCTTACAAACGCAGATCTGCCTACTGACGCATCAATATTCAGTATGGAGTCTGCGCTCGTTCCTCAGAAGTCATTTTGCAGGGTGGCAAGCTAAGTGGTATGTCGTCGCGAAATGTCTGCCGTTTTCCCACTCTACTGCAATATCAGATTATAGTTTTTGTGCCGTAGTTTTAGGTCACAACTTTGACCTAAATTTTGAGGTGGTGCAAACCGCAGTGGAATGTAATTTTTTTAAAATTTTATAGTTTTATAGAGTGTTTTCACATGACGTCACGGCGGCCATATTGGAGTCCCAAAACAATGAAACGGCGGCCATGTTGGTGTCCCAAACCAGTCCTCTGGGAGTTGAACTCTTTTCTTATGCAAACGCTTTCTTTTGTGCCAATAAATTTGCATAGATGCTGACCACGCGAGTGAAAACACTCTATAGTTTTTAATACCGTTTGTCGTAGTACAGCTGCCTTTTGGGCTATTGTTTTGGCGCTTTTTGGCTCAAATTTTTGGAAAAATAAGTTAGCTAGGCAAAAATGTGTCAAAATGAAAGATCTTCATAAAGAAGATGCCCAACTGCTTAACTTGAGAAGTATTTGGAAGTCTCCAACATTGAAATCATTACTGTCAATAGAGAGTTCGATCGAGACTGTACTTTCTTAGGTCTACAATTTGTAGATCCTCTCCTTAAGTAAACTTCACATGACTCTATTTTTATTTTGTGGATAGACTTATTTACGTATGATAGGAGGGGTTTTTGCATTTATTCTAGGAATGACAGAAATAAAGTCGCTCAGTTATTGACAAGGGTAACTTTCAGTTATTGTTTGCCAAAGTTTTAAATAGCGTCCAGCCAGTGGTTTGAGAGAAACGTTTAGATTCTGTATCGATGAGGTTTTACTGGTGTCCAGATTATGTTCGATTCCGCCGGAACGATTCAGTTCGATACCAAATTGCATTGAGATTGACGTAGGGCTTCTGACTTGAACAGTTGTAAAGATCGAGTCACTGATAATAGTTCACCCACATCGAAGGGTCACACTCAACCTACTTATGAAATGACTCCTGGGTTCAACCTTTTACAGACCAGTTCAGACCAGTTCAGTTTCTGGCCAAACATCCACAATCTTCTTGTGTCTGATGCATCAGACTCACCAGCGGTTGGCATATGATAAAACATGGAAGACCATAGCCTGCGTAGCTGGCGGTATTGTGTGGGTGCGAGATTAACGTTTTGGCGGCGGAGCCGTGTTCCAAAAAAAGCGAGTAGCGACGAGGCGGTTGAAATACCGTATTTCTAGTATTTCTAGCGGCTTCGCCGCTCGTGACGGCTCCGCCGTCAAATCTCACTCGACTATATTACAACGGCTCCGCCGCCAAATCTCACTCGACTACTACACAATACCGCCAGCTACGCAGGCTAGGAAGACCATGGAACGGGCTGGAGTGATAAAACTTAGTGTGATAAAACAATGGAGTAAGGGCTGGTCGCGCGCGCGCCGGATATCTCTGAAAAGTAATCACTGGCAGGATCACAGCACTGCACTGAGAAATTGAAGTGGTGCATCTCTGAAAAAATAAAATTCTTTCCTGAACCATAAAATTGAAACTGAGGGAAACCATATCAGTGCAAGGACATATCGCTGCAAGAATTATGACCATACAAACAGGCTACTATTTAGAATTATTTTCACGGTTTTTTTTTTTTTTCAATTATTACGTGTAAACGTTTTGTAGTCGGTCACAAATTACATGGATAGATTTTTTTCCATTTTCCATTATTTTGATAGAGCAGTTTTGCAGCTGTTACACAGAACCTCATCTAAGCTTCACATGTCCGCCCTCATGGACCACAAACCGCGCGAAACTGTGAACGTATCTGCGACCTATTGGCCTTGAGACCATTCGCGCATATTTCACATAAAACTTTGTCTTTTCTGCATTGTAAAGAGATAAGACAGATAACTAAGACGACGGTAATTTTTAAAACACGCGCCATTTTTTGTTTGCTGCATGCGCTACGATTCAAATCCACCAAAAAATTCCGTCCAGCGGCTCGCATACTCGCAACATTATCACTTGCTGATCCCTTCAGCTAGCTACGTGCAAATGGATGCAACATTGTTGGATGGTACATGTTGCGTCCGTTTGCACACCCTGTTGCATGTTTTTGCGTAATGTTTGAAAACGGTCAGACTTTTAGCCTCTTGGAAACGGACGCAACAACTCCCAACATTGTTGGCTTAACAATGTTAGGAGTTGTTGCGTCCGTTTGCTCGTAGCTTTATGTAACGTCACTTCGAGAATCATTCGGTCCTGGAACTTTCGCGCACGGTTTTGTTAGGCTGCCGCCGCGCATCCTGGCTGCTCATTGGCCGGCATAAATACTTTCTTGACGTGTCGAGATACCCAGCTTACACCCAATGTAAACTTATCGTATCCCTGCGTTTTTTTAGGCAGCAAACTTTCCGTTGAGTAATGTCGCTGACAGGAAGTTGAGCCGTGCTGGGACAAAACAAATAAACATTTTCATTGACGTCTGCCGTGCGTCTTTATGCAAAGCCATAGGTCACAAATAATAAAAAGGGCTCTCAAGTATACAGTTTGATATTAGAGAGATTAAGATTCACGTTTACGGCATACGGCAAACGGCAAACGTCAGTTGAAAATTTCTCAGAATAGAAAATAAGCAGATAAAAACAGTCCAGAACGATTCTTGTGGACAAAACTGGCATAAAACCACTTATTTTTGTGTAGAAGCAATAAACAGTAAACGAAAAACAAGGGGAAAACTTGGTCACGTGGTACAAATTCGCGTTTGCCGTTTGGCGTAAACGTGAATCTTAATCTCTCTATTGATTTAATAAGACTTCAAGGTAAGATATTTCTTAACAAATTTCTCAACACACTCCACGGCTTTGAGCTAAACACGTTCGCTGAACAGTCGCCGTTTCTAAGCTTACAGCCCAGTATTAACCCTCGCACTTACGCGTAAATCATATCCCCACAATGGTACAAAAGAGGGGGGTGGGGGGGGGGTTGATGGAACCCCTCCCCAGAGTTTTTGATATGTTGCAGTATTTCGAAACTATTTTGCCTTCAGTGGGCGGTGGCGCCGCTGGAAGCCTGTGAGGTCACCAACAATGGTCGCCATCTTGGCCGCCAACTTGGATTTTTTAGACGAACGGTTACTGAAAAAAGGTCAGGTGCTGATTTTTTATCGTTTAAAAACAAAAAACTCGCTTGTACGTCCGAGGGTTAAGAATTTTAAAAAAAAAAACCATTACGTTATTTGCATAAGATTACAATCACATCATCAATATATTTTTTAAAAATGTTAGCTTTTTTGATGGAAGCATGATCTTACAGTCAACCAATAATGCTGATGGGCAACTCCAAAATTTCCACTCTTAAGCAAGGAAAGTCATTGTAAGAATTTATATAAAACCGCACGAATCTGGCCAAATCAACAAAAATATTATTAATAATTTGCTCACCTTTTCGACGTTGTTTTCATGATAAGAGTTCCAAATGGTTCCATCTAAAGAAAAACGTAACGTGTAGCCGGTGACCCACTCAGATACAGAATCTTCGGCTCGTCCTTGCGTTGCCACTGCACATACATCGTACACTGTACCCATATCTACTTGGAGATACTCTGAATTGCTTTTACTTTCCGGACACCACGCCCCGTTTTGCCTGGTTTCATTAAGTCGACCGTAGTGTGGTAGCTCTGCCATTCGATAACTTGAATTTGCCGTCATTCTGTTATCTGGGATCTTGTTGGTGTCTATTATCCCAACGGGAGGACATTCTGAAAATACTAATCACATGAAAAAAACAATTATTTAATGCTGAATTCCATAAGATGTGGGGATCATATTTTTTTTAGGCACTTCACTATTTTAGAATTATTCGCTTTATGGCTAATTTTAGGGATAGGTGAAATCTGGGTTCTGCTTGTTAATTCAACAACGTCATAAGTATGTGACGTTGCGTTAATTGAATTAAGACGTTGAAAATGATGAGTACATTCTTAAAGATGCGTGTGTAATTTTGCTGGCCTTATCGTGATCGGTTTTAATGCTATAGAGGGGGCCTCCAGCCTGTTTATAGACGCCCACTCCCTTCAAAAAAATCGGGAAGAAAGACGTTTGTGTCACGCCGGTACAGATTTGCATAATTTCTTTGCTTTTGTCGTTCCTCTGACAGTAGAAAAGGTGTCGTCGGACCAACAAGACTCTTGCACCGAAGGGACGCAGTTTTTCTCATTCTTTATAGGCCTTTATAGCAAGGCTGTAAATGGAATAGCTAAAATGTCAGTTATAAGAATAAAATGAGTATATTATGCTTTGAAAAATTCTAACATCTGTTCTTTCGTCTTACATTGAAAAGTCATGAGGCCGGTCGTCTGTCACCCGTAGATCGATTTTCTGTGGTTTCTGGTTCTCATCTCGGAAGCTGTTTATAGGCTCGATTTCCCAAAAAGCGGCTGATATTCGAGACCAAAGCGGTTTATCAAAGTTTTAACATCCAAAGAATCGAATAGTTCATTTCTGTTC